TATGATTTCTTTGAATTATTTGTGCAGTGAAAAGATGTTTAGAAGGGAATACCGAAGAAATGGCACGGGCCAACAGCTTCACTGACATTGACCTTATATCAGAAGAGTTGCCACAGCCAGCTGTATCCGACGTGGCACAGTAAGTAGAACAACAGCTTTTTAATGGATAATATAAATGCTCATTAATGGTGAGGGAGACTTGTCACTGAATAAAAGTATTATTCTTTGGCTGGCTGCACTTGAAGTGATTATGAGTTTGATCTTATTTAACCATATGTGAATGTTTCTACAAAATGCAAGTTGAGTTTTAAGTTTAATGGAAGTAGTCAGACACTTGGAAGGAGAAGCATTGCTCTGCGACAGGTGGCTTGCAGTCTCAATGTCTTTGTTGTTTTACTGTTTAAGGCAGCTGACACAGCTCCTGAGATTTAGTTTTACAGGTAGGTTTATACTTTGTAGAATTCTGAATCAGTTTGAGCTCTAAAGCACTCCTAATATGAATACTGTATGAATTGGTTGGAAACATAAATGAAATAGTCATTTATAGATAATGTTGGGGATGGGGAATCTGGAGTAAATTTCAAATGTGAAGCAGAGCATTAAAGCATACAGCAAGGCCTGGATGGACCAGAGCATTCAGGTATTATACTAAGGCTTTATATTACATGCAGAAACTGATATAAACAATGCTGGTGAATAGAACTCTTGAGTTAGCAGTGGTATATGTCCTAAAGGTACGGTACAGCTCATGAAGGTCTAACTAGTCATCTGGATGTTATGGTAATGTTGGTGAAAAACTCGCTTGAGAGTTCGCTTGAGTTTCTCTTGCAAGAGAAAATATGGAATTGTCATTGGAAAACTCTTTGGTAAATGTCTGAGATTGAAAAGAACAACAAAAATTGTTGCTTGCCTTCAAGTAGGGAAAAATATGGACAATGGTGTTCAGGATGAATTTGAAAGCAATGTGATTCCAATCTATAGTGTGATTGCTTTTAGAAGTTTTATTTCACGTCATATGGTTACTTTCTGTCCAGGTAACTCATGCAGATGATATGTCTACTGAATCTATAGTAACTATACTATGCTTTTATACAGGATATCCTGGTGCTTGTATTTTCCCAACATGCTATAATTTTGACCTTCTTTCAAATGAGAGAATTATAACTTGTTCCATTCAAATCGTTTGGGTTTTTTTGAAGGTTTTTTGTTTTGGTTTTTTGTTTGTTTGTTTTTTTAATCAGCACAGTGCAAGCACAGGATTTTGCATTTAGAAAGAAACAGTTTTCATCTTATTTGTACTATTTAGTGCATGAAAAATGGTATTTTATGTTATTCTGTATAGTGCACCTTGCAAACTGTACCTGAATTTCTAGCTCATATTAGAGTTTAAATGCATTCCTCTCTTGTGTGGAAAGTAAGAAAAGGAATAGTTGAAAGCTAACCAATTATACAAATGAAAAAAAATTAAAATATGGAGAGTATTTGAAGTAATATGCTACAGGGTTTAAAGTAATATACTATTAAGTCCTCTTGATGTGGATATCAGGTGCACATAAACAGAATGATCTTGCAACTACATATTGCTAAATTAATGATTATTAAATTCTAAGACCTGCTATATATTTCTGAATATGTCTAATGAACTTCAAATGTACAGAAAACATAAGGTCAAAAGTTACAGCTGTAATATAAGGTTATAAATGTACTACGTAAAAACAAAGCCAAAACACCATTTCATGTAGTTTTATGCTTCTAAAGTCAAGCATGCTGGTTTTCACCTTTATCACTGATAATCTCATTTTATATGTGTGTAATTCTACATAGTAGGATGCATTCATTTAAGAGTTGTCCTGATTCCTGAGTAGAAATGTAGTATCTCATTATTCAAGTTATGAACTTCATTGGACAAGCACAGAACATGATGTATTTATGTATCTTGGTTTTAAACTGCTATTTCTCATGCAAACATTAAGGTATTAACACTGTATTTGCCTGATATGCATATGCCTTCTACATGAATATTAGATATACTTAGCATGATTATTTGTCTTGTCTTGTAGCAGAAGTATAAGCAGGTAAGTCTTCATGTGTGCTATACTTGCTTTGGTGTGTGAACTTTCCAAAACAGCATGGCTTTTGCTTTGCACTTAGTAATGTATCCCCTACACTAGTGTGCCTTGGAATTCGTGATGAGGAAATCTTTTTTTTTTTTTTTTTTTTTTTTTTTTTTTTTTTTTTTTTTTTTTTTTTTTTCTGTTACAAGCTCCACTTTTATTCTGCTTGTTTACCTGGTTAGAATAAAGAGTTATTCTGTTTGTTCACGTAGATGTTGTTTCATGCTGTGGAGTTATGTACCAGTTAGATACCATGCGGTGTCCACTCCCCTCCCCTGTTTTGGAGTGAACTACGTAATGGAAAGTTGGTTTATCTCATTTGGGAATAACATGCATTTGATAACCAGTGCAACAAATCTTCACCCTAGAGTCACAATGCAGTCAATGAATTAGACAAAAATTCTTCCATGAGTAGAATTCAGCCAAAGGTGTGTATGTGTGCAATGACCCTTCTCAGTTTGCAAAGTAAGTGAAAACATGGCTTCACATAACAGTTAATGATAGTATGCTACGATGACAGTTTCACATGGAGCACTTTTTTGTGAAATCAAGCTTGACTTTGTCAAGCTGCCAAAAGGCAAAGTTTTCCTTGCTGTCCAGAAGTGTTATGAGTTACTAAATCAATCTCGCAGTATACCTTTATTCCAAAGCCAGTAACTGGTCATTTTTTAAACTTTGTAAGCTGCTATGTTGATTATTAAACATGAGATGTTACGTCTACAACTGTAATGTTTTGAGGGTTTTTTTCTGTAATGTGAACAGTAGATTCTTCTGAAATCCTCTCTGCTAGGCAGGTGATAGGAGGGATGTTCTCTGATGACAGTAACCTTTACTTTTGGCCATACTGTCTTCAAGACTCCATTCATTGTGTGGGAAGGCAGATATTGTCCCAGGAGAAAAAGAGTTCCTACCCTTGAGCCATGCTACATTGGACAAATCTCTGTTGCACAATCTGCATATGTGCATTAGTCTCACAGTAACTAAAGTGGTTGCTTGGCAAAACCTATGAGGCTGGTTGGAAACTGGTGATACTACTATTTAAGAATGTGTCTTGACTGAAAGCAAACCAGTTCACTGGGTTGCAGCACTGCCTGGGTTTCAGTGGTTAATACATCCAGTATTGGATTTCTGATGTTAGTGATCCATGTAAGCTTAGAGGAGGTAAGCTGTCCTGGTAGAAGGTGGAAGGTGTCAATAAAAACAAAACCAAACAGCAAGTTTGCAAATTGAGCTTAAGATACCTTTCTGTAGAAATATAGTTTCTTTGTATCCTTTAGATAGCTGGAATGATGTTTGTTTCCAGTGATCTGGGCAAAAATGTGGAAAAATGCAGCCTCCTGAGCTAGGGAACAAAAGCCATTCAAGCTTTCAAGCAAAAATTATTCAAGCTATAATTCTGTGGTTGTCTGAAGTTCTTGCTGAATGTCTCTGGCCCATGATCTCATGTGGTTGCTGACCTGAGTGGAGCTGTGTTGTTTTATGCTGGCTGCTTCTGAGGTGTCCAAAGTTGAATAAGAATGATGATGTTCAAGATTAATCAAATCTGACAGATGAAATAAATATGTTAATGTCAATGATTTGATGAGTAGTTCTGTTTTTAACAATAAATGCTTAGACTGCAGTATTGTCTGATGTACTTACCCACCCAATTTTTCAGATTGCCTGCTGAGCAGTGAGAAGATGACTCCATCAGTGCATGGAGAGTCTGCAAAATGATGTTTTGTCTGTACTTTGAAACCTTTGAAAAAACAGAGATTCTATTTGACTCATTACAGCGTATTTGCTTGGTCCTTAGGGTTAGTCTTCTACATATATTGGTAACAGTATCTAAATTAAGTTATACATTAGGGAAGGTCTAGATCTTGAGAATGGTACTTCTAGAGCTAGAAAGTTCATTTTTATCATTTTGCTCTTTCTTGCTAACCACTCAGCCCTTTCTTTATATCACTTGATTTTTTTAGTGGAAGATGTAAAATCAAACAATTTGAAGATGGATCCTTCATCGAACTTGATTCAACACAGTGCATAGTGGAACTTCTTTCTTTGTGATGTTATGTCTTGAAGCTCCTCTTTCTTCCTAGTTTCCTGCTGTATGCACACAGATGTTGTGACAGAAGGATAGAGGACCTGGTATAGAGTTAGGCCTGCTTGTAACAGTAATACATATCTTTGTAACAGATTGTTTACTAATGAAAGAGACAAGAGATTACTCCAAATGGCACTGATTAAGCAAGTGGCAGGCTGTGATTTCGGCTTTTTTTTGATAAGTCTTGTCTCCTATCCATTATTGGCAGGACTGTTTTATCTGTCTGATACAGCCTATCACGTGTATCACAAGGTCTTTGAGGAAAGAGCTGATGCTATTGAGGTCTGTAAAATGATTAAGCTGTAAGCTTGCTAATTCTTGATCTGTGCCCATAAGCAATAAAAATGCAAATAAAATCTCTTTAAGTGTGTATGAATCTGGTAAGTGATAAAAGGAAGAAAGGAGAAGAAATACACATCAGAATGAGAGCAGGGACAAACCTTAGTGGATTTTTGATCCTTCTTCCTAATCTGAACATTTAAGGCCAGCCACTCCCAACATCTGGTTGAAACCAGAAATTATAGTTGAGGTGTGCTTTACCTGTGTTAAGTGACACAGCCTTTGGGGATGGGTATGTGGCATGATTGACAAGCAAGAAGGTCAGCTACAAGTCCTGTAGACCTGCACTAACATACTCTTGCAGAAGAAGAAGAAACAATAGCAGTTAAAATGATGGCACAGGTGAGTAGCTTGCTGAGGTCCCATGTAAATTGAAATAAACATTTGTATGAACCAAATGCAGTGTAGCATGGAGGATCTTGGAAGGGAAAGAGCTGCCTACAGAGAATGGTTACAGGCCTAGGGAAGCTCTGTAAGTTACCTCTGATTAAGGGACATGCAGCTGTAAGGCTGCAGCCTGTGAAAACTGAGAGTTCATTTGGCTGGGAAGGAACCTTCCCCAGCATGTAGGGAGACTTGTGAGGTTTTGGAGTTGGTGTG